GCTGGGCAAGTTAACGCGTTATTATCGCGTTAACGCATTCATTAATTAACGCCTACAATTATTTTATAGCACTTTTGAAAGTCTGTTGCTCACTGGCAGCGGTGGAGGAAGTCTTCAGACTACGTTGATGCAGCGTGTGGGAGAAGTAGAGATAAACTAAAGCAACACAAGCTAACAGATGCTACAGAGAAGTGGAGACAAACTGCAGGTTAGTGTTGTGGAAGATGTCATCTGAGGAACTTCTCAAGGTGCGCAGATCGGACTTTGAAAGTTAGCGGCAAGATTAACGTGAGACAACATCCGGTTTTCAGAATAAGATGCCAACAAAGTATGAATTATAGTCACATTAAGTCTAAAACATGCTGCATCTCGTGAGTTAAAGGGAAAATACACAAAATGTGCGTAAAGTGTCTTTATTCTTATGTTGATGAAGAGTAGAGCTGCATCACATGCTCTGACTGTCATGAAGACACAACACACATGTAGATGAAACGTGTGGAACATGTTCCTGTTGCACAGCAGTGGAACGTTTCACACAGTCACACACTGAGCACAGATAGTGAAGAGATAGAACTGCTGCTGTGTGAAGAGAACACTGCTGCTAACAACAACCTGATGTGTTTAAAGTGTTTACACCAAATGTTATTGACCTTTGTTCATAGAGCAGTACTTTCAAAATAAAAGTGCACAATACACTACTTTAGAATTAATTATTGAACTTTGCCATAACAATGAGATTAATCGCGATTAAAAAATGTAATCGTTGCCCAGCACTAATAAAAACACAATGAGAACAGGAAGTGATGTCACACTGTTGCACTGCTGTGACTGTTACTATTTATCTGGATAATTTGTTTCATACAGAAATCAAACAACCAAAAATGTGAATATTACAACTGATAATAAATATATAATAGAAATATAACAGTATTCAAAATAAGTCAGAGATGTGACTAAAGAACAGAAGATGAGTTATAGTTAATACATCAAATTAAATCTGTAAACTACATCTGAACACGAACGTTTCTTTATAACCAAAGATCATAAAAACTAATGAAGGAAGCTTCGTCACGATGAGGGTCTTCATCCCGTCGTCTGTTTTAAACTTCACTAATAAATCACTTTGTTATAAGAAGTTACAAAATCCCGTTATAAAGTGAATTTATTACCTACACAACTTTCCATGAAAGTGAAAACCAGGTTATTGGATTAAGCTGTGGAAGTCCTCCAGTGATGACGTCTGTAGTGATGACTCAGCTTCTCTTTGTGACGTGGAATAGAATACCGAGTAACATCACAAACAGCGTCTAAAATACAGCTCATAACAACAGTCAACACGCCGTCACCAGAAGACATAAGTGCATCTCCTTTTTTAAACAAGCATCTAAGAGCATAAACCAGATCAGAAGTACAGAAACAAACTAGCATGAATACAGTAAGTGGTGAGTGGAAGGCTCAGGGTAGTACTTTTTGAAGAGGCGAGTCTTCAGCCTGATGAAAGATGGGCAGCGACTCTGCCGTCCTGACGTCAGTGGGGAGTTCATTCCACCACTGTGGGGCCAGGACAGAAAACAGCCGCGACCGGGTCGATCGGCCGCAGGGACCTCTGAGCGACGGGGGAGCCGATCACCCCGAGGCAGCAGAGCGAAGTGGTCGGGCGGGGGTGTAGGGCTTGACCATGGCCTGGAGATAGGAAGGAGCTGTTCCTTTCACTGCCCTGTAGGCTAGCACCAGAGTCTTAAACTGGATGCTGGCTCTTACAGGGAGCCAGTGTAGAGAATGGAGAAGGGAGGTTGTGTGGGAGAACTTGGGGTGATTGAACACCAGGCAAGCTGCAGCTTTCTGGACAAGCTCCAGAGGTCTGATGGCCGACGCCGGGGCTCCGGCAAGTAGTGAGTTGCAGTAGTCCAGGCGGGAGATGACAAGAGCCTGGATGAGCACCTGCACCTACACCGTCTCATCAGTGAGGAAGGGGCGAATCCTCCTGATGTTGTAGAGCAGGAATCTGCAGGAGCGTGTAACCGATGCAATGTTTGCTGAGGACGACAGTTGGTTGTCCAGGGTGACACCCAGGTTCCTCGCAGTCCGAGTTGGCGTCACCACGGTATCATCAATGGTGATGACAGGTCTCGGTGCAGGGAGGAGTTTGTTCTCCATTATTAATATTAATCACGACGATTATTGCTGCTGTCAGATCTGAAAGAGTTGATTTAAACCACAGGAAGTAAAAACATGGAGTTTCTTCTTCACCTCAAATTATCAACATGATTCTACAAACATGTTATGATTCAGACATGAACACACCTGTGTGTGTGTGTGCGATACTCGATGCTGATCACAGATCAATATATAAATGGATCATGGGACTCTGGATCCTGGACTTGAAACCTGTCTGAACAGTAAATTGTGTTCTGGTCAGAAGAAATAAATAAAATGTATAAATAAATATTCAGTCGAAATATGAGATCAGTGTTAATTCTTTTTAATATCTGATCCTGGAAATGTTACATGAACAACAAATCTGTAGGAGGAGAGCTAACGGAGAGCTAACGTTAACGTAAGCTAGTTAACGTTAGCCAGTTAACGTTAACTAGTTTAAGTTAGCCAGTTAACGTTAACTAGTTATGGTTAGCTGTTAGCAGTCGGTTAGCAGAGCAACATTTGTCTTGATCAGACATTTTTGACATAATTTATTCCCATCACGTTGCTCACATTAATCAAAGTGACCAGCTCGTCTATCGACAGCACGAAGCTAACAGCTAACGGAGGTTACATTCAGATCCAATATGGTGCGTTCAAGCTCTACTCAGTGAAACAGTAGAAGGTAAATTATCACGCTCTCATGATGTCAGACGTGTATCTTCATGTACCTTCTTGTAAAATGTAGTTTTCAGTGAGAAACTTGAACAAATCCGGTTGTTTGAAGATGTTTCCACAATAATATAAAATAAACATGAGAGATAAATTTAAGCTGTTAACTTCCTCACACTCCAAATTGATTAAAATTACTAATGCCCCTAAAATGTTTAATCAAAGCGTATTTTTCAATAAATACAATAATTTATTTCTGTGTTTTTCTGCAAATCACCACTAAAGATGACCACAAAGTAAAAGTATAACATTTTGTTCAAATCCCTGTTGATATTATGTTGATATTATTTATTATTTTAAAGACCCACATCGGACACCTAGGTTGGATAAAGAAGCCGTCCATGTCCAGAAGTGTCAATTTCACTTCACATCCCACAATGCATAGCTCTGCTGGCTACAGGAGCCTGTTTAGCACAAACCTGCAGTTCAGGTCCGATGGGGGTTGGAACCATAAACTAAATGAACCTCCTCAGAATCACAACGTTCAGCACGTCTAAACGGGTACCAAGGGTTCTGCTTTCAGACCTGGTCTGACGTCTGGACCTGATGGGTCCTGACAAAGTCTCGGGTTAAGATCCAGAAACGGGACTTGTTACTGTCGATGACCTTCCTCAGCAGCCATCGAAATACATCTGTACCGGACCAACTGGACTTGTGATCTGGTCTCAGGTTTTTGACTTCATTGATGTTGTGTTCTATATCATCAATGAATGTATTTCTGATCATTTCGATCACTTCATCTATAACAGTCAGGTTCTGAGCCCCCGACATGAAAAGCTTTGTGAACATGGCTGCACGTCTTCTGACTGGAGGACCATCACGATGTGTTCAAAGGTTCAATTTCCTGTTCTACTTTGGTTGAATGGGAATCTGCGGCAGCCCCGCCACCTTCGGCCTCCCGACCGTCGGCCCCACCACCTTCGGCCTCCCGACCGTCGGCCCCGCCAACATGCAGCTTCATGTGTCTCTTCAGATGTCCTGTAACAGTAAAACATTTCCCGCAGACAGAGCAGCTGAATGGTTTCTCTCCGGTGTGGACCCTCATGTGGATCTTCAGGCTCCCCTTCTGGGCACAGCTTTTCCCACACACGTTGCAGCTGAAGGGTTTCTCCCCCGTGTGGACCCTCATGTGCTTGGTCAAGTCTCCTTTTTCGGCACAGCACTTCCCACAGAAGGGACAGCTGAAGGGTTTCTCTCCCGTGTGGACCCTCATGTGTTTCTTCAGGTCTGTTTTCTGAGCACACCCTTTGCCACAGATGGAGCAGCTGAAGGGTTTCTCCCCCGTGTGGTACTTCATGTGTCTGTTGAGGTGTTCTTTCACGTGAAAGCTTTTGCTACACAGCGAGCAGGTGAAGGGTTTCTCTCCGGTGTGGATCCTCATGTGTCGGGTCATGTTCCCTCGTCCGCTGAAGTTCTTCCCACAGAACAAGCAGCTGTACGGCTGCTCTCCGGTGTGACACCTCATGTGAGCCGTCAACGAGCCGCTGTCTTTGAACGTCTTATCACAGCCGGTACACGGAAACGGCCTCTCGCCCGTGTGGTCTCTGACGTGTCTGTTCAAGTTGCCCTTCAGGCTAAAACTTTTCCCACAATAAGAGCATGGAAACGGTCTCTCTTTGGCTGAAGAGCCGACGTCGCTCTCAGAGACTTCGCTGTGTTTCTGAGCCTCGACACCCGACTGGGCTTCATTGGTTTGTGACCAATCAGAGTCGTCGGTTTCAGAAGAGTGCAGAGAATCGTCTTCATTAACTGGTTGTAAATTTGGATCTGAGTTCCATGCTGGTTCTGGTCCTTCACAGTCCTCTCCATCAGCTTCTGTTTCCATCTGTTCAGTTTGTCTTTGATGAAGCTGTGAGGACTGAGCTTCCTCTTCATCATCTTCACTCTTCACAGGAGTGAATGAGAACTTTGTGATATCAGCCTCCTCCAGACCTTGAAGCTGCTCTCCCTCCTGACTGGTCCAGAGTTCCTCCTGTTCCTCTTTAATGTGTGGGGGCTCAGGGTCCTCCTGGTCCAGACTGGAGCTCCACTCCTGCTGCTCTTTATCCTCCAACAGCTGCTGGACGTCTGCAGGAAACAGGAAACACACACATTAGTGTTAATGTTCTACTAGCTGCTGCACCGACACCGTGCTGCTTTGGGCTGTTTAGAAGCTGCAGGATGGAAACGAGGTCGGCTTCCACTTCAAACAAAATCAGAAGCAAAACAAAATGCTGAAGCTAGAGCTATTATTGAAGTGAAACGCTAATACTAAAGCTTAAAGATAATGCTAATACTGGAGCTAATGCTGAAGCTAAAAGTTTATAGTAAAGCTAATGTTATAACTGGAGCTAAAGCTGATTCTGAAGCTAAAGCAACACTGAAGCTATGGCTAATACTGAAGCTAAAGCTAATACTTAGGCTAAAAGATAATGCGAACACTGAAGTTAAAGCTATTACTGAAGCAAAAGTTATTTCTGGACCTAAAGCAAATACTGGAGCTAAAGCTCATACTGTAACTTAATCTAATAATGCAGCTAGATAGATAATACATGAAGCTAAAGTATTAGCTTTGTATTAATTGTGTAGCATTAACGGTTAAAAATGTGTGGTGTAGTATTAGCTTTGTAGTATTAATGATTTATAATTAGCAATGAAGTATAAGTTTTGTATTATTAGCGGTGCAATATTAGCTTTGTGGAATACGTTTTGTAGTATCAGTAGTGTAATACCAGTTTCGCTGTATTAAAGGCTTAAAATTAGCAGTGTAGTATTAGTTTAGCAGCATTAGTTTTGTAGTATTAGTGGTTTAAAATTAGGGGTGAAGTATTAGCTTTGTAGTATTTATGGAATAGTATGTTGTGGCAATTTATCATATAGTTCTTTTAGATATAACTTGTATTGCTTAAACCTAATTCCAGTCTAAAAGAGTCTAGACCCACAGCTAGAAGTTAAAAGAGCCAGAGAAAGTAAATTCAGTATGTTAACTAGTTGTCAACCGATTCAGTAACTACACAGTGAAATATTACAGAGAAAACATGAGGACAAACTTAGGACAGTAGCAGGTCCACAAACGCAGGCATAAGCTCTTTATTATGTTTGATAACCAACCAATGAAAATTAAAACATAGAAGAAACAAAAGTACACGGACCTGAAGACCAGTGGGAGGTTCTAACATTTGTCTCGTATGAGTGACGTGAGTCACTGAAGGGGGGAATGTGGGAGAAAAATGTATTTGTGTCTTGAAATATATTTGTGTAAAATCAATCATATCCATAATTTGAAATGTATCCATGTATATTCACATTCATACTGTGAGATTGTGTCATTGTCATATGTTGTTCACGTCACTGAGACAGGGAGCCCGAGTGAAGATAGAGGGGGGAGGACGCAGATAAACAAGCAGGGCAAGATTTCTAACGGAGGGGAAGAACTGGAGCCGGTCGCTGTGACAGAATCAGGAGAAGACGAGTGATGAAGGAGACTGAGGTTAATCAAAAAAACCTCTGTTATGACTTGTCCGAGGTACACAGTGTAACTCATCTAGGTGACATTAGCTTCGTAGTATTAGTGGTTTCGAATTAGGAGTGACGTATAAACTTTGTAGTATTAGTGGTTTCGAATTAGAGCGACGTATAAACTTTGTAGTATTAGTGGTTTCGAATTAGAGTGACGTATAAACTTCGTAGTATTAGTGGTATAGTATTGGCTTTGTCGTATTAGTGGTATAGT